ACCAACTCAACCTTTTGCCTAACAGGACCACCCCGGAATCAACCAAAACTTCCAGGCTATCGACTCCGCATTCACTTTTGATAAACTGAGTAGCCCCGAAGGTGTTGCCGAGGAGTACAAGCTTTACGTCCAGAACCGTACCGGATTGCTCAGCACGTTCTCCAATGCCTTGGTATTCATTCCTTGGACCGACTTTATGTCGAAGGAGGAAATCACCCAGTTAAAGAGCGAGCTTGACGCTGCATTGGCTGCTGATCCCGCCAAGTACGACACGCCGGTGTACAAGTTGCAGAGGAAGTGGCTCGATGATGATACCGTTCCGGAGCTCGAGATGATTTTGTTCCCTCGTGAGTAGGCTTTTTCCCTGCGGACGTCGCTCGTACTCAAGGTTCCCTGACTGAAGGATCTGCACTTGTCAACCCGAGCGAGACTAACGGCAAGTTCTACACCTTCAACACCCTTTTGATGCATGCTTGGGCTAGGGGAAGTGTAAGTGTTGCCCTCAGGTTCATCGAGATTTGCAAGGACTCATGATGAGTTTCCTATCAAAGGTCCATGTCAACAGTACCGACGGTCTTGCTGCCCCCGTGATGGATACGAGCTACTTGAAGTCTCCTGCTGACATCGGTTTGTTGCGTCCCCTACGCCCGCGACATCCAAGTACTCACACTGAGCGCTTTTACCTCTACAGACATCAAAGTCTTTGTCAAGGCCCTCCGATACGGCTTCAAGCTCGCTGGCACGGAACCCATGAAATCCTGGACCAAGGGCGTCATCAGTCCTGCCGAGGACGCTACCGACGAAGAGCTCATCCAGCATCTTAAGACGAACCTCGGCACCAATTACCACTTCATCGGAACCGCGTCCATGTTGCCACGTAAGGACAAGGGTGTTGTCGATTCCAACTTCAAGGTGTACGGAACGAAGAACCTTAGGATCTGTGATGCCAGTATCTTGCCTATTGTGAGTGACCTGTTGTTGTTATTTGCTGGAAGCTTGACGAAACAATCTCTTCGATAGCACATCGGAACCCATCCTATTGGAACGTTCTATGGGTAAGTCTTACCTTTTTCTGGGTCGAGAACGAACCAGCTGAATGAGCGTCGAATCGTAGCATGGGTGTCAAAGCTGGATGCACCATTCTGGGGACCTGTTAAATCATTCTGTGTTCGCGACCAAATAAAACACTTAAAGTTTCACTGATATCAATTCTCCATTCCTTTGTTTCTTGCTTAGTATAGTATGTCAGGCCATCGGGTTGTAATACATAATCTGTTTTTACAACGCCCGCCTAGCGGAGAACTTGAAAGTTGTTCCTTCCAATTCATAATCACTGAGACTTTAGACCAGAAATAGACGATCGAGGGTTCATACATGGACCTGCAAGCGACTGTATTGGACGTTACCAACCCTCTCCATCACTATTATTGGTAAAAAGTATCGCCGACATGGGGCGAAGCTGAAGCTCCGTGACGGGGACCAATAATGTGGAAAAAGAAAGTCCTGTACTGTTTCGCAAGCTATGTCACTATCTCTGAGGCGAAAGGCATACGCGTAATGTAGGTGTCAAGAAAAAAGCTGGTATTATTCGTGCAATAACATTGATAGATGTCCACAGTCCGTACGTTTTTTCTCCTAAACAATCCACTACTGGTTCTTCTTCTCATTCGCGTTGAAACTCTTGGAAGACAATTCGGTCCTGAGAGGGTTCTGGATGCTAGCCAGCGCCGAGATACCGAAATATAACACGGGGAGGAAAATGAAGAGGACGAAAGCGAGGATTATGATGAGACCCGGAGTGAGGAGCTGGTAACGGTGAAGGATCCCGCTTTTGGGCTGCTTGGGTGCAACGATCTGGGATGCGGAGGATGACGGGGAAACATCGAGAGTGGGGCGGTGTGGAGATGCGTTTCCTTCTCCGTCTAGTTGAGCCTGGCGTTTGTAAAGGTTGGGAGTTGAGCCGGTGTAAATGATAAGGTGGTTGTTGAACGGAAGGGCGGAGAGAGCGGAGGACAACAGGTAATCTATGGATTGAAAAGGGGATATTTTAGGAGCACAGGAATTAACATAAACCGGCAGAAACGAACCATGTTCAAGCATAGTATTCTTTCTGCTCGATTCCCCACCCAGCTCAGGCATGCTCAAGATTACCACGGATTTATCGCCTCCGTTGAGAGATACAGCACCCTGACCCGGCATAGTGTGCACAAGTCTGGAGTTGCATCTCTCCGAGACGGATTTCGCAAAGGAACCGAGGTCGAGGAAAGATTCCTCATGAGATGAAATGTATGCAAACTGACGAGAGGAAGATGCAGAAGAGAGAGAACGAGCGACATGAGAGTCCCTGGGGAGGTTTCGGAGATCTGAGGCATGGAGCTGCGGGCAGGTTAGTGGACCGATGCAGTGCAAAAAGTTCGACCTCAACGTACCCCAGGATGTTCGACAATGACTACTGCATCATGAATACAGACTTCATCTCCAGCAATGAAAGATTCCAAAAGACTGAAAGAATGAGCACTCGCTCCGGGCAGGGGCAGTCGGTCAATAGCACTGGAACTGGACCAGATTTGAGCAAATAAGCCTTCATGAATAGAGCTTTAGGAGCACTACCTGTGTGTAGACCATGCTAGCAGAGGAGAAGTATTCGAAAATGCAAGGGCAACTGGCGATAATGTCAACAGCAATCCCAGACGGGTCATCGTGGTGGTGGTCGCAGTCGAGGAGGTCAAGCTGCGACTGAACCAGTCTGAGTCTGACTGAGTCTGACTTCGTCACGGTAAAGGCACGTGATACCAAATGGGCCGGTTCAGGGCCGGTTCGGTTGCCTAATGTGGGGTACGCAATTCACATGGGCACTCGCTCTCAACTATGAACCGTATTCCGAGTTCCGTCCTCCACCCTTCCTTTCTTCTCAACCACCATGTTCAGAACTGCCATCTCTCACTCTACACGCTCAGCTAGATCTCGCTTGCTCGCATCGAATGCTACACGGTGAGCAAACCTTGTGCTGTAATCTCTCTGACCATAAAGTTGACCCCTCAATCGTAGAGCATTCACAACCACTAGATATCGTGCCTCGGAAGATACTCCGCAATTCAACTCGCTAGATGTTCTGACTGAAGAAGAACAAATGATTCGAGAAACGGGTGAGCTCGCAAGTCACTGAGGTTGCAGGAACGAAGACGCTCACCACCAGCCAATGCATAGTACAACGGTTCTCAACCGACGTCGTTAAACCCAAGGTCCGGGAGATGGACGAAAACGAAATGATGGATCCAGAGATCATAAAGGGTCTTTTCGAACAGGGTGTACGTCTTCCTCTGAGTCCCTTCGTCTTGGTGGCAAGGCTCACATACCCCGCAGTTGATGGGAATAGAGACTTCGGCTGCCCATGGCGGATCGGAATCTTCATTCACCGCTGCTATCATCGCCATTGAAGAGCTTGCCAAGGTCGACCCGTCCGTATCGGTAATGTGTGACGTACACAACACACTCGTGAACACCGTCATACGCAAATACGGGACCCAGGCTCAGCAGGACAAATGGCTACCCCCGTTAGCTACGGAGAAGGTGAGCTTGCACTCTACTTCTACTTGTTACACTGTCTTAGAGCTTTTTATAGCTTGGGTCTTTCTGCCTTTCAGAGCCGGCGTCTGGATCGGATGCTTTCGCACTGCAAACCAAAGCCCAAAAGGTCGGCGACGACTACGTTCTCAACGGAACTAAGATGTGGATCACCAACTCCTATGAGGCCGATATCTTCCTCATTTTCGCCAACGTAAGCCGAGAATCCTTCGATTGGTCGCACTCGTATAACACTTTTCGTTTTAGGTCGACCCCTCAAAAGGCTACAAGGGCATTACATGCTTTATTGCCACGAAAGACATGGGTATTCAGATCGCCAAGAAAGAGCAAAAACTCGGTATTCGAGCGTCTTCAACCTGTACCCTGAGCTTTGATGATTTCAAGGTCATTGAACCCTAGCACACCTATCCTATGCAGGCGTCTTGCTTACTCGAGTTATAGGTACCAGCAGAGAACGTCATTGGAGGTGTTGGTCAGGGATACAAGGTGGGTGTCTTCACGTTCTCTCACAGCTGTCCATAAACCAATATCATGGTTAATAGATCGCTATAGAAATCCTGAACGAGGGACGTATTGGTATCGCCTCACAGATGCTCGGTCTCGCACAGGGAGCCTTTAACCTCTCAGTCCCCTACACGTACACTAGGTCTCAGTTCGGCCAGCCCATCGGTACATTCCAGGGCATGGCCTTCCAGTTCGCTGAGGCTGCTACTCAGATTGAGGCGTCGCGCCTGTTGACCTACAACGCGGCGCGAAGAAAGGAGACTGGATTGAGCTTTGTCAAGGAGGCAGCTATGGCGAAGTGGTATGCCAGCCAGGTTGCACAGAAGGTTAGCGGGAGCGCGATTGAGTGGATGGGTGGACTCGGGTTCACGAGAGAGACTGGTGTTGAGAAGTTCTGGAGAGATTCGAAGATTGTACGTGCTCGGTTGTCGTTGAACATTACAGTCAGACTGATTTGTGCTGCTTTCTAGGGCGCGATCTATGAAGGAACCTCGAACATTCAGCTCCAGACAATTGCCAGGTTTATTCAAAAGGAACACGCCAGCTGAAGGACTCAGATGTTTGCCTGTGTATTTGTATAACCTACAGCCTTCAGGTCGGAACGGAGACCAAGTAATGTTATGGCTAACGAGATACTTGCCACTAGTGCTTCAAGTCATGAGTATGCCTTAAATCTCTGATGCGTAAATACGGATCTGAAAGTGAATTCGGGGCGGAGCGACGTACCCTAAGGACACCTTCGGGCACAGGGGACCGATCACACTGCCCAAATGGTTGATAACTGACTCAACGTTTTGCTTTGTCAGTCTTCAAAGACTCGCTCAGATTCATCTCCATCGAAAAGCAAAACGCTTTGACAAAGTAGAAAGTTCCACGGCTTTGACGCAAAATCGGAAGCACCGCACAGTTCTTGATGCGACCCAGGCTCGAACTGGGGACCTACTGCACACACCGATAATTCTTTTGGCCGCGTTAGACAGATGCGACAACCAACTACGCCATCGAACCACAGAGATAGAGAGAGGGTATAATTCGAGTCAGAGTGAATCAAAATCCTACTCAAACTGCGAGTTGCTACGATCCTACTCACGATCTGCAAGACTTCGAGCCTTCATAGATGGTTATCATCCAAGCTACTGAGAATAGACTGTTCTGGCTCCAAGCCTGGAGCCTCATAATCTCGCTGATAACACTACTGATCCCGAATCTGAGAATCGGCGCCTTTAGCCTCAGACCCGCAGTTGACCGTACGGTTCATCGGACGACTGGTTCGGGTCCAATCCAATATTACTAGTTTCCTTATTTCAATACACGAGTTGTACACGAGTATGGTGGTGAGTTTGAGACTGTAATGAGGCGCGAAATTTCATGAATGACGTATAAAGGACTCGGATAGACTTGTATTTTAACTTTTAGTGTATTCCAAAATGGGCAGAAGCATCGGCCGATTAGCAGTTGTTGAGGATGGTGCAGCCGGCTTTGATGCCCATGCTACGGGCAGTCAGTGAGACGCCCCTTCGTTATATCAAGATGCGACGCTTACCCGTAGAGCGTCGCCACAGGGTGGGCGGCGATGTGCTGGAAATAACTCCAATGAGTCCCGCATAGAAAGGGATTATCAGAACGGAGGCTCTTACAATCGGGAGGATGCTGGCATCAGCAATTCTCAAGTTCTTGGTGCCGTAGACCTTGAAGTCCGGATCAACCACACCCTTGTCTTCACGAGGAAGCATCGCGGCGGTTCCAATAAAGTGCCAGTTGGGGCCGAGTCTGGTCTTCAAGTGTTGAATGAGCTCTGCGTCGGTGGCGTTCTCTACAGGGCTGACGACGCCCTTGGTAACCGATTTCATGGGTTCCGTCCCAGCTAACTTGAAGCCGTACCGGAGTGCTTTGACGAAGACTTTGACGTCTATGGGAGTGTGAGAGTGTGTTCTCCATGTTTTCGACAAGACGACACAAACCGATATCGGCGGGGGAGCTCAGGTAGCTCGTGTCAACGACAGGAGGGGCAAGACCGTCGGTGCTGTTGACATGAACCTGCACAACAGGGATGTTCGAGAATCGCAACACGGGCAAGCGGAAAAGCAGCAATCAAGCACTCACGTTTCCCCTAGCCCAAGAGTGCGTTAAGAGGGTGTTGAAAGTGTAGAATTTGCCATTGGTATCGGTACCTTGATTGGTGATTGCAGAACCTACCGAGCATGAGGATGAGATATAATCGCGAGAAGTCGATCTTACGAGGGATCAAGATGACTTCGAGTTGAGGAACGGAGTCGTCGTCAAGCCATTTCCTTTGCAGCTTGTAGGCTGGCGTGTTGTACTTGGTGGAGTCCGCAGCCAAAGCAGCGTCGAGCTCAGTTTTCAGCTGGCTGATCTCCTGCTCGGACATAAAATTACTCCAGGGGAGGAATGCCAAGGCGGATGAGAACGTGCTCAGCAATCCGGTACGGTTCTGGACGTAGAGCTTGTACTCCTCAGCGACACCCTCCGGGGTGCTCAGCTTGTCAAAAGTGAACGCGGAGTCGATAGCTTGGAAGTATTGGTTGACTCCAGGATGGTCCTATAGCCAGACTGTCTGACACGGTTGTTAGGGAAGGAGGCTGGACCCACCTGCAAGTTCTCACCGACACCAGGCAATTCAATCAGAGTCTCGATTCCGAGTTTGTTCAGGAGCTGTGGGTTACCTATTCCTGAAAGAAGACACGACTTTGAAGAGGGTCCACCTCGAATGTCATCGTTTATCTCACCAGAAAGTTCGAGGAGTTGAGGGCTCTTGAGAGAACCTGATAGCACGGACGTGAGTCGATGTCACCGTGCAAGAATAAAGCGATACAAACCAGCTGAGAGGACGATCTCCCTCGACGCTTGAGCAATATATGTATGTTGGTCGCGCCCAACAAAGGTCACACCTGTGGCAGAGATATCGCCTCCGTTCGGGTGACCGAAGTTGACCTTGGTTGCTTGAGCACCTGTAAGGAGTATAAGGTTCTTCCTCTCGCGATTAGGCTCATAGAACGCCTGGAAAAAGACACATAGGAGTTGAAAACATGGCCTTGAAAACCCTCGTCGGAGGTTACTTACATTGGCAGCGAAGGACCGCGAGCGGTTCTGGGCGTCTATGGTGCGATCGGAAGCCCAGCCACCTACGGTGTATCCACCGTACTGAGGTTAAGTGGAGTTCAATGACGCGACGAGCAAAAGGAATCGTTACACTCACAGGTGCTCTGTTGATGGGGACGCCCAGATTATCAAATGCCTTCAAGAAGGGTGGCTGGAGGTCGCTGAAGAGTGTAGAACTCGTAGTCTTGAGTGCGCCACTACGACCATGGTTTTCCGAGTCGTTGCACACGCCGTAGTTTTGGATGAAGTCGGGGTTGGCGGGCGCCGTCCAGTTTTCGGCTTTCTTCATTAAGTTGAACAGATTTGTAGCTCCCCATCCTGGGTTACCTAGTTCCACAATACCTGGAAGACGGCGAGTGATTAACCATCAAGGAATGAATGCACTTTCAGTTCACTACCGTTGTATTCATTTGTGGTAGCCCTATATTTCCGGACGCATCAGTAAAATAATGTGTACATATACGGATGTCAGATAGCTGAGAGTCACCTGGTGTAGCCTAGATAGTTCAGGACACTCGTCCCTCCAAGAATCTTTCCCCGCGCCAATTGAATCTGTCGGTTGTTGACGTGATCCTGGGGTACCGAAAAGAACTGCCAGTCATATTTAGGATCTATGCAGAGTTAAGCGCATTCAAGATTCACAATGCTGAAGGGCGTACTGTTGAGAATGGTTCCGGCAAATCCTGCTTCATGTTTAGATCCGGTATCAAAACCGCACGTACACTGAGCATACCAGGTATGAGCACATTGTCATCATACAGCCGTTCGCCAGCTTCGATGACTCCCACGACGGCGCGTGAATCTTGTGAGAGCCTGAGAATGGTGAGGGCGGGCGTAGAGGGCAGGGTAATTATGGTGAACTCACGTAGCGGCAACTGTAAGGCCAGTTGTGCCCCCTCCTACAACAATGTAGTCAAATTTGACCTTCGAAAACGCGGCAGCATCGTATTCTACCGCGTATGCGGTGAGCGCCGTTGAAAGGAGAATGAATCGAGGAAAAAGGCGCATGGTATGGGAAGCACCTAAATGACCTCCCTTTTAATAGCAAAATCAACTCGTAATTCACTACTGGTCCATGACCTAGATCACATCAGACCCGCTGTATCCCCATCAACGAGTACAAACATAATCATCCCCGTGAAGAACTGATGAGGTTGAAGTTTAGGAGAGTCCGATGAGTTCCTATGAATGCAGCTTTCCCGTCCCTTGAACAGGTCGTATTGCCGCGGATAAGTGGCGGTATTATAGCTACGTCACCTCATTTGAATCGCGGTACGTTTGCAGGGACAGATAGTCCACTCTCAGTGACTTTGACGGACCCATGAATTCTGGACCTCGCTTGCGCACGTCCAAAATTCCACCAAGGCCCAACATAGCTTAGCTCTGGAAGGGCCGCAATGAATCGAACCGGAACACGTTCTGGTTCAAGGACATTCATTGCTGAGAACGGTGCCAAAGAGCAACCTCGATCTCCCACGAACAGATCTTGCAAAGTACTACTTACCTTCGGACGTCAGGGTACCAACGAATTACTCTTCCACCGTGTTTCCCTTGTCGTACGCTGTTCGTCTCATTGGAGCACAGTAGTGAGCTCTTGACGCTTCCTTGACTGCAATCTGATTTCGACTGGTCGGATCGTCCGTGTCCTTTTTCGGTCGTAGATTCTTTTGGGGCATCTGCGTGAATATGGCGAACGGCGAGGCGATTGCTCGCCGCCAACTAGAAGCCAGGCCTTTTTATCAGAATTGACTTGAGCCACAGGTGTCCGGTGAGGGCTATAAACAGTCTGTCAGCTCCCTCAACACGGGTAGCAAGTCAAGAATGTTAGACCCTCCGAAAGCTCGAACTTGAGGGATGATTGAGCCGAACTTGAACCGCTGCAAGGCGAGCCAGGACGACAGGGATAAAGAACAGATAATAGATGACGGATGTACTCTCCTCGAACCTTGGAGCTGAATTTCTTGCGGCTCACGATATTTCCTATTCTGAAGAGCTTTGTTTTCGCCAATAGCCATGTAGTACATGATATAGTCGTCGTCGTGGTCGTTTAACAAGCTTAGCGATGTTCAAGCACTGACAGTGAACCGCTGACATAATGCTGGCATCTCCCCGGACCGACGGTTTGCTACGGGCCGTGTCGGTCTCAAAGGTCCTTCGCCCAGTACCAAGTATTCTGTCGGGAATCCGATAGTTACTTGTAGCTTCGATGTGGAGTGCATTGAGCTCGGAATCAGCCAGTCGAAAATACTAGGCACGGATCACGCCTCGGCTCTGAGAACGACTTGGTCGAGGGCGTAGAGTAATACGTCCAAATGCTGGTCCTCACGCCAACGCACTTCAAGTTGACGAAACCGGACGTCGAAGAAGATTATGGATCCGCCCAAAACCCAAGTACATTCAAGGGTAGCCAAATTACATCCAACATTACAACCTAATGGATATTACAAGTGAGAAAGAGAAAGTGAAGCGTGGATTTTTATAAATGAGGGAAATAAAGAAGGATAGACTCGTGTTTTGGATCATTGAGTAGAACGATCGGCGGATTAGCAGTTCTTGAGAATAGTACAACCGGCTTTGATACCCATGCTACAAGATTTGCTCAGTAAGGGATCCAGTCATTGAAACGAGACACGACACTCACCCGTAGAGGGTCGCCACAGGGTGGGTTCCGATGTGCTATAAGTAGCTCCGATGAGACGCACATAACAAAGAGTATATTCAAACAAAAGCCTTACGATAGGGAGGATGCTAGCATCAGCAATTCTCAAATTCTTGGTGCCGTAGACCTTGAAGTTCGAATCGACGACACCCTTGTCCTTGCGAGGAAGCATCGCGGCAGTTCCGATAAAGTGATAGTTGGTGCCGAGGTTAGTCTTCAAGTGTTGAAT